GCGGTTCTCTTGCCTCAGCCTCCCAAGTAACTGGGACGACAGGCGCCCGCCACAACTGCTCGACTATATTTTGGTTGTAGTTGTCATAGTTGTTGGCAGGCCTGGGCTGGATTTGAACCCGCCAGCTCTGGTGCAGCTGTAGCTGGCGCCCAAGCCGCTGAGCTACAGGTGCCAAGCTTACATTTGTGTTTTCATGTATGTGTAAAGTGATATATAGTAAAACTTGTCCAAACAAATTTAGAGGAACTCTTCCAATTCCAGGCAGTGAGAAGCTCTTGCTGCTATTTCACAGGCCTACAATTTATCTTCTCCACGACCAAAGTAAAGGGCGGTTCCAAGCCCCAGCCTTGGAGGATTCTGCCACTTCCCATCCTAAGCTACCCTCCTTTAACCTAACAAAAAAAACAAATCGCCTTTACACCGTGGAATACCCAACTACAGCCACACTACACGTGGGTGCCTCCCGCAAGGACGACCCTGAGCGGAATGTGCAAACCGCAGACCACTCGCCCGGTCACGGCCCACGCGCGGGAAGCGGGTGCACAGGCCGCAGACAACGCCAAGGGACAGAGCCGCCCCGGGTGCGACCTGTTCTCCGCCTTCCCATGGATGGGCCGCACCGGGGGGCTTTGATGCAGGTAGTAACTTTTGGCGACTCCCTCGATTTGTCAGGTCGTCTCTTCAAGACTAGCTCTTATATCTGACAGGAACAACGCTCCAGAGACATTACCGTCTCTCGCACGCAGTTTCCTAGTCAGCCGGCACCTCCAATCTACACCGGCCTTTAGGCGCCTGCGCCGCCTCTTCCTTAGCTACTACCACTACTGCCGCTACTGGAGAGCTCTGCCCCGGGGGCGTGGCCGTATACCTGCTAGCCAATGGGTAAGCGCGCTGCCGCAGCCAATGGGAAGGCAGCGCGGGCTCGGTGCCCTGAGCCATCGCCGGGGCTGAGCGTTGTGGTCATGCCTGGCTCTCCCGCGCCGGACGTGGCCTTTGGCCCGGGGTCCGGGACCCGCCGGAGGCCCTGGGCAGAGCTGCTGGGTAGGTGGGTGGTGCTGCGGCCCCTTCCTCCCCGAGCCGCCGCCACTACGTCCTCCAGAGGCCGTGCTCCGCGTCTTGGGGCTCTCGCCGCTGGCCGCCGGGCTGGGGCCTAGTGCGCGCGGCGGCCTCCCCGGGCCCAGTCCACCGATTCCCTCCCTCCCCCGGTCCCCTCCGCGCCGCTCCACGCCTCCTCCCCTCCCTGGCCCTTCTGCGCCCCTTCCTCTCCTTGGCAGGCCCTGGCAGACCAGGACTTCAGGATAGGGGTTCCTCAAACGGGGGTTTAAGTCTCACCCCAAACGTCAGTCCAGTAGTATCAAATTTAACTTAGCAGGAGAACCACACAATTTGTGTTTAACAGGAATCAGACCCAAAACGTTAACGTTGGTACGATGCTGTTAACTACAGATTTATTAAAATTGCATGGGTTTCCTCCGTAATGCCCTTTTTTGGTCTCAGGATCCCGCGTCGTATGTAATTGTCCCATTTCCTAGGGTTTTTTTTTTTTTGGCAGTTTTTGGCCGGGGCTGGGTTTGAACTCGCCACCTCCAGCATATGGGGCTGGCACCTTACTACTTTGAGCCACAGGCGCTGCCCCATTTCCTAGTATTCTTGTCTTTCAAGATCTCAGCACTGTAGAGAAGCACTGGTCCGTTATTTTATAGAATGTCCTTTAGGTTTCTCTGATGTTTTCTCATGATGGAATTGAGGGGTGGACAGAAATAGCGTGTGTCCTCAGTGCATCAGGTGGGGGTACAGGGTGTCACAGTGTCTCATTTAAATAGAAATGTAATTTTTTAAAAACTGATTTTCTCCATTAGCAGGAAGGGCCAAGAGGCAAAAATATAATCCTGAAAGGGGACAGAAGTTAAAGGCTTCAGCTGTGCACCTCCTGAGAAGTCACCAAGACTTGAATAATCTTTTGCTTGAGGTAAGAGAAAATTGGTTTTCCTTTGCAGGCAGATACAGGTTTGGGTTTTTTTTTCCGCAGTTTTTTGGATGGGGCTGGGTTTAAACCCACCACCTCTGGTATATGGGGCTGGCCCTGTGTCTTTGAGCCACAGGCACCACCCGGTTCAGGTTTTTTGAACCCAGCAAAGTCCATACCCTTTCTTTTTTTCTTTTTCTTTTTTTTTTTTTTTGAGACAGAGCCTCAAGCTGTCCCCCTGGGTAGAGTGCCATGGCATT